GGGGGGGGGGGGGGGGAGAGGCGCCCTTGGGCCCCGAACGGGACGACGGCCTGAAAGCCTGAGGCAAGAAACGCACGTCTGTGCCGCCTCTGTCCCCGGGAGGGGCTGGGCGCGCAGACAGAGGGGAGGTTGGGTGTGAGCAGGCGGCCGGGAGGACCCCATTTAAATCCCGGGGAGATTATGAGGACAGTAGTTGCAGCCTGTCAGCCCTCATTAAGTTAATGGAACTGGCGAGTTGGCATGCTTCCAGCGCGCTGGAGAAAGAAAACAAGAAAAGTGTTTTCAGCGAAAGAGCCAGGGGTCCCGTTTTGCCCGCAGCCCCGGGAGATTATGGGCCGTCGGTAATGGCCTCGCTGGAATGACTTACTGGGGACTCGTTGATTACAACAAGGGGAGGAAACCCCTGATGTCTAAGAAGAATTACATGGGCTTCTCACTGATTTTCTTCTAGAAAAGCGACTCGTGCGCACTTCCTTCCAAAAGCCTTGTCCCCGGCCAGCGCCTCTACGGCCACCTGGGTTCCCGGAAGGACGGAAAGGCACAAAAGTAAAGCGAGGGATGGATGGCGGGCTGGGTGAGCCCCGGGGGTCAGAAGCCAGGCCCCCTGGGGCACGTCAGGAGGGGCAGGGCAGGCCCCCGCCCTTTGCTCTCAGGAGCAGAAAGCAGGCAGGGTCACCCCCGAGGGCGTGTGGTCCTCGCAGGGCCCGCGGATGCCCTTCCCAGCCCGTCAGCGCCGTGACAGCGGGCTCGGGGGTGTCTGCCGTGGGACTCTGGCGGTGGCAGTCCTGTGTCTGGAGGCAGAGCCTTTTCCGGAAGGCCCTGTTAAGTGTCCCTCCACCACTCTCCTCCACCCTGAGATTCCCCGACGTGCCAGGCCACCCGCAAGCCCCACACTGCACCCCGACCTCCCATGACCACGGTCCAGGGCCGAGGGCCCCACCCTTCCCCAGAGACCCGGAGCCTGGACCCACCAAACCTTGGGGAGGGCCCCCAGCATCCCAGCAAGATGCCCGACGCCAGGCCCCCTTCCTTCCCTCCTCCGTTCTCCCGCGTTCCTCTTCCTCCCCAGCACGCACCCCACGGGCCGCCTGTGAGCCGGGCCCCGTGCTTCGGAAAGCACGTCGTAGCTACTCCGTTACCCCCACTGAACCGGAGGAAGCCGCAGCCCCGCGAGGCAGAGCCACCGGCCGCCGGAGCATCCGTTCCCACCCGTTCCCGCCTGGACTCAGAGACGCGGGGCTGATGTGGTCTCCGGGCGCCCACTGCCCGCGTCCTCGCCTGGCACCTCTCAAACACCCCCCACGGCATCCATCAACCCTTCCTGCCAGGGCGCTCAGCATTTGGGCCCCCACCTCAGGGGTGAAGCAGATAGGCCGGGGGTCTCCGCACTGCCGGGCTGGGCCCCGAGCCTCCTTCCTCCCAGAGCCCCCTTCGTGCCAACTGGGCAGCCACGGGGTTGCTCTGGATCCCGGGAGGGGCAGCGGGGACCTGCTTGGCACGGCCCACGCCCCTCTCCCTGCCCTGGAGGCCTCCCCCCACCGCCTGGCCAAAGAGCGGGGCCTGAGGCAGCACAGAGGGCCGAGGGCCGGCCCTTCAGTCCACAGCTGACCTCGGGGACAGAGCGACAGCTGTAAAGAGAGGTGGTGGGTGCTCCGGGAGCCGGGGGCGCGATGTGTACGCAGCCCCCAGACAAGAGGCACGGACTCTGGCCAGAGCTCGGCCCCCTGAAGCTCACAGCCGAGGCGAGGAAGGCCTAGTGTGTCCTTCTCACGTGGCAGGTGACCTGTAGGCCCAGACGGCGACATGCCGGCCGGGGCTTCGGGTGATGCAGGGACAGACAGTGGCCCCCAGACCCATGAGGCCTCCAGTCCAGCCCCCGACTCACCTGGGCTCATTCCCTCCAGGATGCCGCAGGGCCCACTTGGGGAAGGCCCCTGGGGCGGGGGGCGCCCAGCCCTGCCCACCACACCCCCTCCACACACACACAAACCCTCTCCCTGGACGAACAGGGCAGGGAAATCCCCGGGATCCGCACCCAGAAGCAGGCTTCGTGGGGCCGGTCGTGGGGGCCGGCGCTGGCTCAGCCTGCGTCCCAAGGGGCACTTTCTTCTTCCCTCCCTGCTGGTCTAGGGACACGAGGAGGCCGCCCCCCATCCTGCTTTTCTCGGGGGGCTGGGGGTCGGGGCCAGGGCCTTCCCTGTCTAGTTCCACAACCACCGCCCCCCAACCCCGGGGGCTGAGTGTGGGGCGGGGGTGGGGGTGGGGTGGGGTGCAGATTTCTGCAGATCAGATACTGTGTTCAGTGCCCCAGGCCGGAGTGGCCTTCCTGGAGAGCCCTCCTGTCTGGGCGGGGAAGCAGCCGGTCCGGTTCTGAGAGGGCTGGCTGGGAGCTGAGGGACTGTTTTGGAATGTGAACTGTTATCACTGTTATCTGCTGAAGCCTGGGGTGGCCGCCTCCCCGGGTGGGGAGCCCCACCTGCCTGCGGCCCGGCCCCGGCCTGCCCTGCGCTCTCTGGTCCCGGGGCCTCCACCAAGCCCACCGGCCTGGACACTCTGCCCCCCCCCCCCCCCCCCCCAGGTCCCCGTGTCCTTCTGCGGGTCCTGCCCTCTCCGGCCTTAGGTTCTTGCCCTCACCTCCCCGGAGCTCTGCCCCTTTCTGCCAGGGCACCCCCGTGGGGCCCTGTTTTTCTCATGGCTACATTCCCGGCGTCTGACACATGGCCAGTGCCCGGCCCACGAGAACGAGGCCACGGGTGCCGGGCCGCTCCAGCCCAGGCCGGCAGGGACAGGGTGCCACCGCCCAGGAGGGGGGCCGGGCTGCCGCCGGTCAGGCGTGCTGGGCCGGTCTCTCCCGGGGCCACCACTCGGCCCTCCGCCTTTCCCTCCCCCCAAAGGAAAGGAGAGGTTAATAAACCAATTACTTTGGGCAACGAAGCAAAATAAGTCCCATTAAAGTAATTAACGTCCTTTGCACAGCCCCCATTGGAGAAGACTAATAAATTGGGGCTTTGTCACCATCCGGTAATTTCTTGCTAGGGCGTTTCTTCATCCCCATCCAACAGCACAGTTTAAGGCTCTGTTAATACTTTTAAGACGGGCTCGATGCCAGACTAATTAGATTTGCATTTCCACCATGGGCCAGGCTAGGCTCGGATGTGCCCAATGAAAGAGGCCCGAGGACCCCGCAGGGGCCCCAGGGACAGCACCCGCCTTTGAGAAGGGGCCATGTGTGGATTCCCACGTCTGGCCTGACACTCCGTCTGCCCGGCCAGCCTCCCCGCCCCCGCACACCAGGGCACGGCTCTGATCCGAGCCAAGGCCAGGCCTCCTTCTCCAGAGGGTCCCTTCCCGAGTCTGCCCACCCCGGGGCTCACAGGGGCCAACCGGACGACCCAGGACCCCACGGCCAAACCCCGGTGGGTCCGAACGGGCAACAGGAGAGAGGGAAGAGCTCAAGCGGGTAGTGGAGACACCCAAGGGGCGCCGCCCCGGCCAGGCGGTCAAGCTCAGCGTCACAGGGACGGGACATGTCATGACACGTTGTTCACATTTCATGTCGATAGCACGTGCCCTTGTCATGAGGGACGAGGAGGGCAGTTCCCCTGGGTCCCCCTCCCAAACCCCAGTTTAACCGTGAGAAAAGCCGCAGACCAGCCTGTCGAGGGACGTCCCGCAAAACACCCAACATGTCCTCAAAACCGTTGAGGTCGTCAAGCGTCAGGAGAGTCTGAAAGTGGCAGGGCCCACAGGAGCCCAAGAAGACGAGACAACGAGACACCAGGTGGAGTCCTGGACGGGGTCCCGGGACAGGACGGCAGGGGGACAGGAGCTCTGAAGGAAGTATGGACTTTGGTTAACGACGGCCGGTTTGTTCGCCGTGACAAACGCACGGTCCTCACGTGAGATGTTAACGGTGGGGAGCTGTGGGTGAGGGGCGGGGGGCACAGGGGAGCTCTCTGCACACGTTCCTGACAATTCTGTGATTCCCAAACCGTTCTAAATCTCCCCCCGCCTCTGCCTCCCCCTCCCCCTCTGCGTGGGGGCACTGTCACCTGGTCTGGAGGCTACCACAGGACCGCCATGAGCTCAGGGGGCACCACGACCAGGCCGGGCCGGGGGAGACGTGCGGGGGAGACGGTGCGAGCCACCGAGGGCCAAGTGGCGTCCTGACCGCGTCAGCTGGGATCTGTCTGGGCGCTGTATAGATGCCAGGCCTCCAAGCAGGTCACGGCCCAAAGTGGGGAGGATGGCGAGGTGCCGGGGAGGGGGCTGTTGGGGGAGGTGGAAATGGCCGATAGATGGGCCCTGAGAGCCAGGACGGGGCCTTGGGACGAGAGCGTGCACGCCCCGCACCCCGCGGCTGGGGTCGGAAGGGGTGAGGACGGGGGCTGGGGGCCGGCGACCGGGTCTTGGAACGTTACAACTCGGACCTCGGACGGCTTTTTAGTGCCTCAGCAAGACTATTCATCTTTTGCTTTCTTTCCCCCCAACATTTAAAAAAAATTTTTTTTTTTTTTTATTAAAAAAAAATTTTTTTTTCAACGTTTATTTATTTTTGGGATAGAGAGAGACAGAGCATGAACGGGGGAGGGGCAGAGAGAGAGGGAGACACAGAATCGGAAACAGGCTCCAGGCTCTGAGCCATCAGCCCAGAGCCCGACGCGGGGCTCGAACTCACGGACCGCGAGATCGCGACCTGGCTGAAGTCGGACGCTTAACCGACTGAGCCACCCAGGAGCCCCTAAAAATTTAAAGACCATCCCGAGCTCAAGGGGCCGTACGAAAATAGGAGGCAGGCCATGGTTTACAACCCCTGTTGGTACACAAAGCATTTGGCCAAGTTCAAACGTTCTTAGAGCAAAAAGCTACATTAAAATTTCTGTTAAATGGGACTGGAAAGGAGCTTCCCTCACTTGGTAAGGTTAGCCAAGAGCGAGAGCCAACAGTCCCAGGAGCGCAGGAAACATTTCTCTCGGTGCCATTAATCTGTTAATTGATGCAGAACGCATTTCTATGAAGTGCTGACACAAGACAAGGACGGCGGGCCCCACGCTCTCATAGTCACACAGATCCCGCTTACTGCAAAAGGAAAGAGAGAACTAGGCGCGAAGGTCGGGAGAGAGGAAAGGGTCGTTATTTGCAGCTGATAAGATCATCTACTTAAGAAATTATCAAGGCTAACGACAAGCGACGAGAGGCCACCAGGGACGCCAGACAGAGGACCGACCCGTGTAGGTCCGTGGTGCTTTCTACCCCAGCAAGAGGCCCCCAGCTCTAGGGAGGGTGCCTTGTCGGGGGTAAGAAAGCCACCCCTCCCCCCATGAGAGGAGTCCCCTGAGAATGCTCCCAGACCCCAGGGGGGGACTCCGAAGACGGCCCGAGGCGCTCAGAGACCCCTCACTCTTGGACGAGACGGCCTAAGTCAGAATTTCCATTTCCCCCAAAGCCAGCCGGCAAATCCAGTGCACCCCCAAGCAAGCTTCCCATTACAATTAAGAAACTTAATAAGGTTGACGTGGAAAAACAAATGTCCCGAAGAGGTAAGTCAAACTTTAACAGAGATCACCTGCAGGGCAGAGAGGGGGTGAGCGTGTGCCCGCGTTAGCACCTATTTGCAAAGCGGGTCTGCGTCGTGCTGGTGGATCCTCCTGAGAGCAGATCCCCGGTGAGGAGGAGGGACCCAGGCCACACGCCTTGTGCACTTGGGGACAGGGCTGACCACAAAGGATGACACTGGCGCCTGGCAGGGGCGGGCTGGGGAGGCGGGAGGCAAGGCCCCCCTCCTGCGCGGAGGAAAACGAGGCCGGGCCCCGGGCTGTCCCCTGGAAGCGATAAAGCCCTACGTGAGGGGCAACTGTAACTGATGGAAGGAAATGCAGGATGATATCTCCCGGAGCCACGCGCGACGAGGCCACAGGAGCACGCATTTGGTGGGTCAGAGCTTAGAACTCCCGCTCACGGAGGGACACTGGGCTGGCGGGGCTGTTCAGCTCCTCTCCGGGGCCCTGTTCTTGCCCCCTCCCGCTGCCTCGCCAAAACCCCACTTCTCTTTACGGACATTCCTTCTTCCCTGCCGCCTTCCCGGAAAAATCCTACGCTCTGTGGGAGGGACTTTGTCTCTCTTGTTGACTTTCATATCTCCGGGGTCTAGGACCATGTCTGGCACACAGGGGTTCAGGGAACAGCGGTGATAGGATGGCACGGTGGCAGAGGGACGACTGCAGGCACACGGGCTCCACACCGCCCAGCTCTGTACCCAGGAGCGGCTCCCGCAGAGTCTCCACTCTGCCCGGCCTGGGCCCCCTCTGGAGGGCCCCGAACAGGTGCACCGCGTCCCCTACAGGTGTCAGATGCTCTTTGGGACTGGAGTGGGCAAGAGACGCATCCTCGGCTCCTAGGGCCCAGAGGCGTGAGCAGCTCCCCAGCTGATGGTCCGGCTTGGTGTCCGCCTGGCCCAGAAACCTCTCTCGAGTCCTATGTTCACACGTCTGGAGGAAACACGCATGTGGACCCACGGCGTCCCAAGCAGGTGGTGGCGGCCTAGAGACCCTCCTTGATGGCTACACCAGGTGCCGTGAAAATGCATGGTGACAGACCCGTCCCCCACACACCCTTGAGCAAAGAGCTTGGATCTTGATCCCTCAGTTTCCCATTCCTTGTCCCCCCTCCCTGACCCCAGGGCTCCAAAGAGAAGCCTTCCGTGAGCAGTGAGCAGGGTGGGGGATGCACTCAACAGCCTTAGGCTCCCCTGCAGGTGAGGGCGGGGCAGCTGGGGAAGGTGTGACCCTAAGGGGCCCCAGAAGTGCCCCACACACACCGGGCTCAAGGCTTGGGGGAACGGTAGTGTGTCCCAGGAGGGGATCAACAAAGGTGCTTCAGGCACCGGCAACAGGGTGGCTGACGTCCCCAGCCACATGGAGGAGGGTGGTCACCGGGGCCCGGAGCCCAGGCTTGGGCTCAGGGGAGCCCGGATCGGGTGAGAACACACACAAGTGGGCCCGCAGGCCGGCACCCCTGCCCCCTGGCCTACCTGATGTCTTGTGAGGACACCTGCATGATTTCCCCCTAAAACATCCTGCCCTGCTGGGAGGACCGGCCAGGGGTAACATTCCTTCCCCGAGGCGGTTCGTAGCCTGCACTGGTGTCCCGTGCCATTGCTGGGGGCCACGGGCCTGTAAAGCCGTGCACTTGGGCAGTTGGTGGCAGATGGTCGAAAAGGCCGGTTGCAAAACCCGAAGTGGTGAGTTTGATACACGGCCACCTCCGACATGTTGTCCTAACCCCAGACTCCCTAACCCTGCAAAGCAGACCAAAGTCCTGTCTGCACCACCACACCCCGAGAGTATCCAGATTTTCTAGGCTTTTTCTTTCCAGTGGGAAGAGAACATAAAGGCACTTACGGGGCAAGCTGAGCACGAAACTCTCGCGGAATCCCCTACGACACTTTTCTGTTCTGTTTTGTTTTCTTTTAGCTGTTTGACCCGACACACCTCAACAGAATCTTCCTGAACTTTCCAGTTATGTTTTCACAGAAATCTGAAATCCGTGTCTGTGCACACGCACTGGGGCACATGAACTTTAACCATTCACGACCACACAACCCACCGGGCTGAGTCAGCAGGTGCCCCGATGGGGGCACGGGTGGGCTCCAACAGGGCATCCAGGCCACAGGTCGTGATAGTTTTCTAATGTGGTTAAACTAATAACATTATTGTATTACACATTTTACTTATGATGTATTTTCTATGAACTTACAATGCGTTATTACAAACACTGTTTAGTATTATCAATAAAATGAAATTGTTTAAAACAGAATAGAATCAACTAGAATGGGATATATTACAATGCCATGGGGGGGGGGCGGCCCACGTACGTGTATACTTGTATGTGTCTGGTCCACCAGGAAGAAGCATGTCTGGGCTGTGGCCTAGTGTGCTGGGCACACTCCCCAGGGCATCAGGGAGAGGGCCTCTGGGTGAACATGTGGGCAGGGGGATGTCGGGTAGGAGTACTCCAGGTCTGTCCCCCTCCGGCACTACGGGCACACGCAGAGCCCTGTGGCCCAGCCACGCAGGCAGCAAAAGAGGGCCAGGTAAGGCTGTTCTCCTCTGGGTCCATCCCTCCCCTCCCTGCTGACACACCTTCTCTGGGAGCCAAGAGAGGGGAGTCGGGGGGCGGCTGCGACAGAATGACAGCAAGGGCCCTGACATCTCAGGCCTGAGCTGGGTTACTTCCAGCCCCAAAGTCCACCCCTGACAGAGGATGAGAGAGGGCAGGTCCTGGAGGGAAGGGGCTGGAATAACACTTCAAAAGGAGGGAAGAAAGGTGACCCGTGGCCCCAGACCTCCCCCACTTGAGGAGCACAGAGTCCTGGGGCGGGGAGACCCTTGGCGACACAGATCGGTCCCCACGCGGCGAGCATGGCCCTGGGGAAGCACAGGGGGTCGTTAGGGTACCTGTGAGTCCCAGTTCGCTGGGGCGTCTGGGCCACACCAGCAGCCCC